TTTTTAATTTCATTGTTTCATTGCTATGATAATCATACGTGATTTGAAATTTAAAAAATCTCATAATTCATGGTCGATAGGTAAATAAATAAATCAATAAATTAATAACTTAAATTATAAAAGAATGAAACAAAAGACGTGAATGACGTCCCGAATTAGGTAACATGGCAGCTGAGAATTGCTCGTTTCAAAACGTCAAGTTAAATGGAAAAAAAAAAAATATAACGAGAGAGAAAGCTCGGAATACCTCGATTAAGCCCAGACCCGCAAGGTCGTGTCCCAGCTGCCGGTGGACAGAGCAGTACCGTCGGGCGAGACGCGTAAACAGGAGACTCGGTTCTCGTGTCCGTAGAGCAGCGCCAGACGCTGGCACTTGAGCGTGTCCCAGACGTTGACCGAGTAGTCGTTGTAGCCGGCAAATAGCAGGCGACCGCTCACCGACATGTCGACCGCGTTTGCGCCAAAGATTATACTCTCCTTCGAGTAGATGGCGACTTCCTTGTCAGCGCGCAGATCGAATAGGCGGCAGGTTGCGTCGTCCGAGCCTGTGGCGACCGCATCGCCGCTTGGATGGAATCGTACCTGCGGGAGAGGCCAATAGTTGGATAAAAAAATTGACACCCTATCAATAACTCCCGACGGTTACTGAGATTTTTTTTTTTTACAATTTATTTAGATGCTTATTTTAGTAAAGTAGTATAATGGCTTGTATCTTCAATACACAAACATACGCGTTTTTTTATGTTTTGAAGAAATCTTAACTTTTCGTCAATACTAAGCTCCCTCTACTAGAGAGCGAAATCTTTAAGATCATTGGTATTAAAATTGCAGTTTATGCTGGAAAATGTCACATAGGAGAATACCAACATAAGGATTTATTATTCATATTATGAAAAAATAAAAGTTCTCTCTAACTTACCGAATTGACATCAGACTCATGGCCTTCGAAGCTCTGCACGCATAAGCCGTTCCTCATGTCCCAAATGTTAACCAGCTTATCGCAGCTACCAGAGACAAAAGTGTTTCCGATTTCACTAGGTGCCAAGTCGATGGACATGACACTGTCCGAGTGCCCATGAAAGCTCTGCAGCAGCTGACCACTTTCGACGTCCCAGAGCGCACAGGTACTGTCACCGCTGCCTGTGATCACTTGTTGGTCGCTATTGGGAAAGACGCAACAAGACGTGTACGAGATGTGGGTGCCCACTGTCTTCTTCTTTGCTGACATATCATCTTCCAAACTTAATGAGTATACTGTCACCTTATTGTCAAGACCGCTGTGAATTAGCCCAAATCGATCATTATTCATCGTTTGATTTTTTGAAATTAAACAGTCGCCCTATTGCATTAGTAATACGTAACGAATTAGGTGTGGCTCTTTATTCATTCATTCTGACTTACCCACATGCAACGAGTTGTCCGCTAGGTGCGTACGCACAAGCTATCACCCACGTCGTCGGTGTTGTGACAGCGTGTTCCTTATTTGTTGTAAAAGCATCCTTTTCAACTTAATTTGAACAGGTCTATTGTCCAACTGACCTTTGTAGTTGATAGATTATAGGACCAGCCTAAAGCGTAATATTTTTCTCTTGATTCGCTGACTAGGACATCACACGTGTGTTTCTTTTTTACAATTTTCTTTTTTCTTTATATTGCGCGTTGACATTCGAAAGGAATACAAAGTTCAACGCTCTACGATTGTTTCATTTTATTTATTTTTAAAATTTTTGTCGATATAACAATACCGAACACTCGGTTTTTTTTTTGTTTTTTTTTTTTCTCTTTTTTTCGACTTGCCGTCGAGGCAGTCTAAAATTGTTACCCTTAATGTACTGCATGTAAGAAAAACAATTACAAATACTTTTCGGTTAAAATCTGTGTTGAAATGAAAAAAAAAACTAAATAAGATTTTACAAGGGTTCAAAAGAAAATGTATGGATGCAAAACGTATTGAAATTTAATTTGGCAAATATAGAAATTAAAGTTGTTTCAAAATGAAGAAAAATTATTGTAACTAAATTATATCATTTACTTACTTCTTGTAAAGATCAAAGAGCGCACTATTTCATTGTTTTGTATTTACTTTTTCACACTTCTTATAATTTAAGTATATATATATAATCTCACTTATGTTTAAACGCAAATATTTGTGCATTTTCATCTTCACAATCGAATTTTTTTTTTCTCACTATACATATGGCCTATGTATAATCTTACTATGTATATATGTATATATATATTACTCATTACTTAATACAAGTTTGGCCTTTTTAATTAAATTGATTAAATAAATTGCAATGATTACTAATAAAAACGTATACTTTTAATTTAAAGAAGTAAAAAAATCAGTTTCTTTCTCATTTGTACTTGCATCATATTATATCATTAAACTTAAAAGTTAAAATTAATGTAAGGAACAAGAATTTAATTAACGTATGCGTGTATATAATAAAAATGTTTGATATTAATGTATGATAAAAATGCAATTGTATAATATCATTTTTGTATATATGTATAAAAAAAAGAGGAGTGCAAAATAGGGATAAAAAATTGCCAGTTAATGTTTACGTAGCGATAAAAAAAAGGTGGAAATATTTTTGTACGAATTTCAAAATGACTTAGTTATTAAAGTAAATAAAAAATACTGTGATTATCTCATTACTTATTTGTTGGGGTTTTCTTTCAGTCAAGAAAAAGAGTATTTTTTTACAATCTCTAATACTCTATTCAACATGCTTACAGTTTTCTTTGGAATGAAGTTTGTTTTTTTTTTAATTTCATTGTTTCATTGCTATGATAATCATACGTGATTTGAAATTTAAAAAATCTCATAATTCATGGTCGATAGGTAAATAAATAAATCAATAAATTAATAACTTAAATTATAAAAGAATGAAACAAAAGACGTGAATGACGTCCCGAATTAGGTAACATGGCAGCTGAGAATTGCTCGTTTCAAAACGTCAAGTTAAATGGAAAAAAAAAAAATATAACGAGAGAGAAAGCTCGGAATACCTCGATTAAGCCCAGACCCGCAAGGTCGTGTCCCAGCTGCCGGTGGACAGAGCAGTACCGTCGGGCGAGACGCGTAAACAGGAGACTCGGTTCTCGTGTCCGTAGAGCAGCGCCAGACGCTGGCACTTGAGCGTGTCCCAGACGTTGACCGAGTAGTCGTTGTAGCCGGCAAATAGCAGGCGACCGCTCACCGACATGTCGACCGCGTTTGCGCCAAAGATTATACTCTCCTTCGAGTAGATGGCGACTTCCTTGTCAGCGCGCAGATCGAATAGGCGGCAGGTTGCGTCGTCCGAGCCTGTGGCGACCGCATCGCCGCTTGGATGGAATCGTACCTGCGGGAGAGGCCAATAGTTGGATAAAAAAATTGACACCCTATCAATAACTCCCGACGGTTACTGAGATTTTTTTTTTTTTACAATTTATTTAGATGCTTATTTTAGTAAAGTAGTATAATGGCTTGTATCTTCAATACACAAACATACGCGTTTTTTTATGTTTTGAAGAAATCTTAACTTTTCGTCAATACTAAGCTCCCTCTACTAGAGAGCGAAATCTTTAAGATCATTGGTATTAAAATTGCAGTTTATGCTGGAAAATGTCACATAGGAGAATACCAACATAAGGATTTATTATTCATATTATGAAAAAATAAAAGTTCTCTCTAACTTACCGAATTGACATCAGACTCATGGCCTTCGAAGCTCTGCACGCATAAGCCGTTCCTCATGTCCCAAATGTTAACCAGCTTATCGCAGCTACCAGAGACAAAAGTGTTTCCGATTTCACTAGGTGCCAAGTCGATGGACATGACACTGTCCGAGTGCCCATGAAAGCTCTGCAGCAGCTGACCACTTTCGACGTCCCAGAGCGCACAGGTACTGTCACCGCTGCCTGTGATCACTTGTTGGTCGCTATTGGGAAAGACGCAACAAGACGTGTACGAGATGTGGGTGCCCACTGTCTTCTTCTTTGCTGACATATCATCTTCCAAACTTAATGAGTATACTGTCACCTTATTGTCAAGACCGCTGTGAATTAGCCCAAATCGATCATTATTCATCGTTTGATTTTTTGAAATTAAACAGTCGCCCTATTGCATTAGTAATACGTAACGAATTAGGTGTGGCTCTTTATTCATTCATTCTGACTTACCCACATGCAACGAGTTGTCCGCTAGGTGCGTACGCACAAGCTATCACCCACGTCGTCGGTGTTGTGACAGCGTGTTCCTTATTTGTTGTAAAAGCATCCCATATAATCATCTTACCATCCTATTGAACGATTAAATTCGTAATGAGGAGTGTGAAAAGCAAGTTACATGAACGTCAATGTACGCATAGAAAATTTTCGCAACAATAGGTACCTGAGATGAAGAGACAATGTGCCGTTTGTCTGGAGACCAATCAGCACACAGTACTTTTCCCATATGCCCTTTCAAAATTCGACGAGGTTTTATGTTTATGCAACTGATTTGTTCTAGCTTATCAGCAATAACAGACACTAGAAACGATGAGAAACAATTACAGTTTTGCTTTTACTCAGTTTAGCACAGGTTTTTTGAAACATGTTAACAACATAAAATGCATTTTATACAGTAGATTTTACTTACGGGTGACATCATTGAGTTTTTGTCTTTCATCTTCAAGGCGAATTTTGAGGGACTCTGCCTCTTTGCACAATTTTTCAATCTGCTCAGATTCTGTAGCAGCTGCATCCATGATTGACAACAAAACTAGTCCATTCACGGGTCAATGTTTTGTGGGAAAGAAGTTTATCATCTAACAATCATGAGTGATGTTTGGGGTTGGTTGGGTAGGAAAAAATTCTGAAAAATAACATTATCATTGTAAAAATCGTTGCACTTATGCGCATAAATGTAGAGAATTGAGGTTTTTTTGGCCAAATTTCATTTTCTTAAGTTGTTAAGTCTAAATGGGACAAATTTAAGTCATAGAAGAAAACTGATGAAATACAAGATTTCCTGGATGGACGAATTAAAGTTGTTACACTACTGTATTATATGGAATATGAATGCTTTTAGGTGTACTTAACGAAAAAAAAAATCTGCCTTGAAAACCTCAAATGCCAAAAAACTCAAAACCCCTTAGCTCTTAGTGCAACCACACTTGTAACAATTGTAAACGACAGACAGATCGCGTATGTACACAAGTGGTTATAGCCTCGTTTGCGCCCCTCCTCCGAAAATTGAAAGCTACCGACCTTTACATTATTTTTAGGACGATGAGAACAGGTCAGCCTCATCTCCAGCAACCACATCAGCTTCGGAACTCATGTCGGACGGGCGAAGATGCTCCAACATCAATAACACTTGATTTGCTCACTTGGTGTGTTGTAGCACCGAGACGTTTCTTTTAAGAACGATAACAGCAGCATCGAAAACAACAACAATCCTGGCCGTCCACGGGTGCATGCCATGTGATGATGCACATCACTACGATAACAGGAGACTTGTCATTTTGTTCAACGTCTTCCTCTTCGACATGGCTACGTGAACCTGCATGCAGCTATACTATCCTCAGGATCACGACGATCAACATCCAGTTGCAGATGCTGTTGGTAGTATATGCTGCAGGTGAACTGAGAAGTGTGAACTGTCACTGCGCTGTCATCAGTTTGTTGTTGGGGGAGTGTGCGAGAGAGAAGACGACGAAGAGGGAGAAGGGAATGTGATGTATATACATATACATGGGTAATTTCACAAAAACTGCGATACTTTCACGCCCTTATTGAGATTTTTTTTTAATTCAATGTTTGTAATTTTTCATTAGGGTATTTTTCCCAAGTTGTGTGAGGTCTAAACTAGTTGGAAACTTTTGGGCCCGACTCTACGGTCTTTTTTTTTAAATCAGTGTTTTTTTTTTAATTGTAAAAGAGCGTTACACGCCTACTGTTATTACTGTAACGGTACTTACTCTTTTTGCGATTGTGAAAATGTGAAGTCCCAAGTGGGAATTTCTCAACGAAACTTCATTTGTCATATTTTATTTGCTCTAATCTATTTAAAAGTACTTTATCATAAATTACATGGCAGTTGTTTAATCATAACAGATAAAATTGTTATTGCCTAATGTCTTTTCATAACGACACACACGCTGTACACAGAACTAAGAAACATAATCAATGTGTAATTAACTAATACACATTACAACTAATAAACTTTACGGATTAAAATTTTGCACATTTATCGAACGATTACAAATACACACATCAAAAACGTAACATGAAAGCACCAAAAAGTAATACGCTATGGCATAGCAATGTTTCAGTTGACTAGAAACGATACTTAAAAACGAAAAAAATTTCGGATGAACTGATAAACGCATTTTTCACAATTGTGCTGACTAATAATAATTCAACTCGCTTGTATTCCACCTCTTATTAACGTTAAAACGCTCAATAAGTCGCTTTTAAAATTTCTCTATGATAAGTCCTTTTCAACTTAATTTGAACAGGTCTATTGTCCAACTGACCTTTGTAGTTGATAGATTATAGGACCAGCCTAAAGCGTAATATTTTTCTCTTGATTCGCTGACTAGGACATCACACGTGTGTTTCTTTTTTACAATTTTCTTTTTTCTTTATATTGCGCGTTGACATTCGAAAGGAATACAAAGTTCAACGCTCACTTACTACTCAAGCAAATCATACAATTGAAATTTGGGGGCAGTCCACAAGTAATTGTTATTTATAATTAAAAAGTAAGGTAACGCGGAAAAAAGTTGAGTTCGCTAATTTGTTGTATTTTTTACGCGCAATCTAATGGTGTACTTTATTTTGGTATTTACAAACTCTGGGAGCCAAATTTATACAGCTGAGTTCAGAGCAAATTTCTCACCCTAAAAAAAGCTTCTGCTCTACGGTGTGACCGCGGTGTTTTCTCTCGAACAATAATAAAAAAATACCAAGTATACGTATGTTATATAGAATTCGTGTTTTGGACTTTGAAGTGTTTCCTCCCTGTAACGACATAGTTATTTAAAAAACGAAAAACAACAAAATAAACTCAATTGAAATGATTCATCAAACAATGGAAATATTTATTATTTAAATAACATAACTGACCGGTGGGTTTAAATTGAAGTAAACTTTAATAATTAATATTTTTGTTGATTGTGCCTGATAATGTGACGGCTTGTTTATTTAATTTGTTTTTTTATTATTTTTCGATATTTAGCAGCAGGTGTCATGGAAGTAAAAAAGTAAAATATAGGTACATCAAAATTTTCCAAATGTTGTAAATGATTTTTCGTCGGACAAAAAAGCCGCTGGATAAGATTATTATTATTAAAGATTAGCAGTTTCAATGCAATTAGCGAGCACACGCAGAAATGACGAAGACAACGAGTCTGCCATTGTTTATTGTTCTTCTGCTTGGTTTTATTAATAGTGGTAATTGTTTTTTAATCGAGACAGCCGTCATTGGTACCGCTTCTTTTTTAGGTTATACGCTTCGCTGCAACTTCATGGAATGTTGCAACGATCAATATATACCCCTGTACACTTATAATAGTAAGTATTTTTATTACCCATTAAACAAATACGCTTTAATTTAACAAACTAATATTTCATTTTGTTATACTGAGGTATTGTAAGGAAATGAAAAATTTTGTGTTAGCTGAGTTCCTAATGATTTTTCAGAGCTAAAATCAGACTTATCTAATAAATTATATGGTCAGCACATTGCAAGAGATATAATTTATAGCGCAGTTCATAGTCATGTTCATCTCGATCACCCAAGGAAACCGTTAGTCCTTAGTCTTCATGGTTTACCTGGCAGTGGAAAGAACTACATCGCTACCATGATAGCCAATGCACTATTTAAAAAGGGAGAAAAAAGTAAATTTTTTCACTTTTTCAATGGTAGAAACGATTTTCCCCGAGACAAACATGTCGAGGAATATAAGGTGCTGTGACGTCAGTTTTTAACTATGAAAGTACACCGGGATATACGTTTTAATGCAATGCAAGTCTTATTTTTTTATCTTATTTCAGATTACTCTCCATTTTAAAATAGAACAAGCTCTAAGCCAATGTGAAAGATCGTTATTCATTTTTGATGAGGTGGACAAAATGCCAGCTGGAATTTTAGATGTGCTAGTGCCTTTCATTGATTACACAAGTTGGAAAGACAGGTACAAAGCAAAGGCTATTTTCATTTTTTTATCAAATACAGGAAGTGAACAAATAGTTCAAAAGATGATAAGTTTGTGGAAAAGTGGGGTCAGTCGTGAAGAAACGACAATTCGTGACTTTGAACCTCTGATAACGATTGGCGCATTTAATGAAGAGGGAGGGCTTCATAAAAGTGGCACCATTGAGTCTAAATTGATAGACCATCACATACCTTTTCTCCCAATGGAAGAAAAGCATCTTATCGAATGCATTAAAGATGTCTTTAGTCATTTTGGTGTGTTGAAGCCATCAAACAAAATGATTTCCGACGTTTTACTTCATGTGTCATTTGGACCCGAACCTTATAATTTGTATTCAACAGCTGGTTGCAAGAGATTAGACCACAAAGTTTCTTCTATCGTTTACAAAGATGAATTTCAGGAAAATTTTTGAAGTATACACATCAATTTATTTCCATTAGTTGAAAAAAAAAAAAATACATCACACAAATCTGGGCCTACACGTTCATTTTTATGATACGGTATAGCTTATAAATCATTTAAATTAATTAATATGAGAATTTTGCAAAAGGTTTAACTGATACGAGCCCTGAGGACAATTAATATTTTATAAAAGTTTGAAAAAATGCACGCATCTTGTTAGAAGCTTTTGGATTGCAATAAATTTTTTTGAACAGGGAGTTACAAACTAATTTATTAGATAACAATAAATGAAGATCTGATGAAATTCTGCAGTAATTGCGTCAATAAACTGTAACAAAACAGTGAAGTTTATCATATTTATGATAGATGGTAATTGTACAATGATGTTTGAAAGCGTTTATGTTTAATGTTTATGATAGTCATTCATATTTACAAAAGCAGTATCATTATAAATTAATGCCGTGCGTAGATTTTTACTTGCGTTTGAAATTTTTTACACATGTGCAAAGAAAAAAATTATGCCCATGCTATGTACTAAATTCAATTGTAACTTATACATTTACGAAAATTCTCAAGAGAAGCATAGGAAGGTAACATTTTACTCAATGTGATGATAGATTAAAAAAAAGTTTATAAATGTAGTTTTNAATTATGTAATCCCGTGCCCTAAAGTGGCTTGACTTTGATGAGGATTAAAATATCTGGGTAGGAACGTCGAGGACGACCTACGCCGTTCAGGCGATAGATGCTCTGCCTCAGCAGTATAAATAATCAATAAATAAATGATAATTTCGGATACCAATACTGATCACAGTCGGTTGTTCGCATATTTGCGTATTTCAAGTGTATGCATATATTTAAACGCTGGCGCTGACACTCAGGAGAACATTTATGTACCTATAGGTGTAATCGTATGAGAAAGAGAGAGAGAGAGTGTGAGCATAGGGTCGCGGCGGTGCGACGAGGGAGCTCGCGGCGTGCGAGTGGAACAGGCAGTATTGTGTGAATGGCAGAGAGACTAGGTAGGTGTCGGCGTTTAGCCCTTTTTGTACTTTATTGAAATAAAGCCAACATTATTTTATTCCTGTTTTCTCCTTTGTTTGATTTGTTCCTGCCTTCCTCGCTTCGTCGTCAACAAATTTATTTTCTTTTCATTTACTATTATGAATATTAAATCTCATATCTAAAAGTCACAAACCTATCGAAAATATATATAAAATTATCAATAATTTGTTTATAATGTTTTTTTTGATTTTTGAATTATTTGCTATTGTACGTGGAAAGCGTTCCACTGCTTTATACGGTACTTAGTTGAATATTATTTCTTTTGATGCACATTCGGTCTCACTCCTGTCCATCAACCTTGGGACTATGTAAAACATCAGTATTACTGATTGTTACCGGCTGAATGTCATTACATCAACAATAAAAAACTTTCATTATTTAGAATTTTTGTAAGTAGAATGCGATCCACCCTTTCGCCCTTCTAAGACTTGTTATTGATATACATTTGTAACACTTCTGTCTATCAACCTTGGGACTATGTGCAACATCAGTAACATTATACTGATATAAATAGAAAATTTAGTTTTTGAGATTTGAAATCTCGCGCTTTAGGATATTCTCTTACCTATAAGGGCCAATCATAAACGTGCGCGCGTCTATTAATATACCAATAGACTCTGTTTATACTTACCTTTGTCCAGCAGCTTGCTGCTGCTGCTGCTATCATTAGTCAGCCTCAAACGCCCTTTTTGGTAAGTCGCTTTGCGCTCGTGTTTATAATTTTCACGTGTATCGTTTTTATGTAAGATTTCTGTAATTAAAACGATTCACATTTTCGATTGACACGTAATTTCTCCGTCTGACTCATAAATTAGTTCTTCCTTTTTTTATCTTGCAAGTAAGCAAGTATTATGACTTGTTAAAGTAAAATTAAATAGAGAGATTGTTTTTTTATAATAAACGGCTAAAGTGTTTAAAAGTGTGTTGTGCATTTATTATTGTGTCCTTTTTATTTACATCCTTTTTCACGCTCCCCCAAATCCGGCGTGCGATACAAATTATACAGTTCACTATCTTACTGAGATCAATTTCGAACACTAGTAGTATAGCTATACATACAACATACGGCCCTCGCTAGGCCCTCGTTTCTCATTTCACTATTTGCTGGATCTTGAATGAAACAATCAAACAACTCAAACGACACAGGAGCCGTACCATATAACTCTTTCCGCTTCGCGGGCCTATGTTTTAACAACAATAACCAAAGAACAAGCGTTCTTTGGGTGAACGCGGGCGACCCACGTTGGGAATCAGCTGATCCACTGAGGGTCCTGATTGGCTGATGGAGTCTCTCTTCCTACTCTGTCATCTGTGATTTGTCCTGTTGTGGTGTGTCCTGTCCGCAGACTAACCTTTCCTTACCATATCACACAAGCGTGTACATCTATATCTACCAGCTGGTTCCCAACGTGGGTCGCCCGCGATCACCCAAAGAACACTTGTTCTTTGGTTAAGTTCGGGCGAGCGCAGGTGAGCGCGGGTTGACGGCGTGCGCCGCGCCCAATCTCGGTCCCCGAACATACCCAATGAGCAAGTGTCAGGGTCTGATCGGGGCATTCGATATCTCGCTCGATCTCGCTTAAGTAAGCAGTTTTTTCGATAACCGGGATAACCCCTAAACTACGCATGCGCACTATCGCTATTTTTGGTTATTTTATAGGGATTATCGAAAAAACTGCTTACTTAAGTGAGATATCGAATGCCCCGATCAGACCCCTCGGAGCAAGAACGCGTGTTCGGGCTAGATGAGTTCAGAAGCTGTATAAATTTGACCCCCAGAGTTTATAAATACCAAAATAAATTACACCATTAGATTGCGCGTAAAAAATACAACGAATTGGCGAACTCAACTTTTTTGCGCGTTGCCTTATTTTTTAATTATAAATAACAATTACTTGGGGGCTGCCCCCAAATTTCAATTGTATGATTTGCTTGAGTAGCAAGTCCTACAAAAATAAGTAAAGGCTTAAAAGAAAGCGCGTGCATTGCCCACCTGAAAAAAAATGTCGGAATTCTATGTAGAATTACTTCTGTAAAACTTTCAGGAAAGTCATAAGGCATTACACATGGTTTTACATATGGCATTACACAAAGGGTTTTAGCTTGGTGATGCCATATGTAATTCCATATGGAAAAACACATGGAATTACTAATTGGAAAAAGAAAAAATTTCTATCATCTCGAAATAACTGCAAAACACCATGATAAATTATTTGCAGTTAGCAATTTGTCTTACTATCGGGATGATAACTCCAAAACAAGGGGGTTCAGCTGATTTTACTTCTATAGAAAAAAATTTAATTTTTTAATTTTTTTTTCATTCCTGAAATATAACTTGAATCCTCTTGTTTTTGAGTTATCATCCAGATGGTAACACTAATTGTTCACAGTAAATGATGCATTACAGTATTCTGCAGTTATTTCTAGATGACAAAATTTTTTTCCTTTTTCCAATTTGTAATTCTATGTGTTTTTTCAAATGGAATTACATATGGCATTACCAAGGTAAAACCCCCTTACGTATGGCATTACATAAGGG